GTTAAATTGTGTGCCGCGACATTGAAGCCACCGTGTTAGTATGCTGGAGTTTCTCAGAGATTGGGCCAGTTGAGCCGATTACCAGGGTGGTTGGGTGGATGTTTCCATAGGGACGGGACCCGTTTTCCGTAGGTACACGTTGGGTAGTCATGACAACTAGGAAGCGGCTACTTTTATCGTACGCAAAATCCTTCGAGAAGCGAAATTATTCCCTCGGGAGCGTCTTTCCGTTCCGCGTCCGCTTTTTTTCTCCTGGTTGGAAGCGCATGCAAAATGAATTTTCTTCGTCAAATTTTCATCAACAGGACGTGGTTCATCACTTGGTTATGATCGAATGATACATTGAGGATAAGTTTATTCCGATTTAAAAGAGTTTCGAAAGTTACAAATCCACCATTTACTTGGTGATGTTGACAGAATGCATGTTGACTGAGCCTTAACACACTGCGGAGTAAAATTGAGAAAAATGTTCCGGTTAGATCTTGATTCCAGTAAATACCGCAGAACCAAATGCAGTTGACTGCAGTTTTAAGTGGTTTCCCACCTCATTTTCTGGAAAAGTTTTTCATAAAGCTAAATATTTCAGGGTCGCGCTTTGCAGAAGATGAAAAACTTGAACAATGATCAACCACAAAAACAAGCCAACAAATTGCCATCAAAAAAACATCCGCAAGTTAACAAATACTCCATAAAAAGTCGTGTAACTAACAAATAATTCTCAAGTCAATACCTAGCGGGGGGAAAAACGCCTTTATTAAACAAATCCACGATTTAGAGTGCATTGAAGGCAAGTTGAGTGGCATTTATAAAAGTGCGAAATGAACTTTAAAAAAATTGCCGGGATCGAGCTTGATTCCGGATAGCTTTTCACACTACGAGTATTATTTACTTGGAAGTAAATGCGTTGAAAATAATGCATTCCCTAATTTCCTGGTCAAATTTTTCATGAACCTAATTAGTTGAGGTAACCATCAAAACAATCAAAAATATTGCTCTCGAAAAAGCATTCGCAAGTCCATAAATAATCCATAAAAAGTCGCTTTTATTAAACAAACCCACCATTTAAGTGTATTGAAAGCAAGTTCAGTGAACTTTACAAAAGCGCGGAGAGAAATGGAGAAAAATGCCCGGTTAAAGCTTGATTCCGAATAGCTTTCCAGATTGCCCATATTGAACGCTTCCTTCAAGATAAGCTCACCGAAAGTATCGCAGAACCTTCAAGAGCAGGTGACTCCATTTTCAGGTGGTTTCCTCTATCATTTCCTGGTTAACTTTTTCTTTAAGCGAAACAATATCGTTAAATATAAAATATTGAAGAAAATATTTAACTATTGCAAATTGCTTAAGGTTATTAATAAACTACTGAAATCTATTTCTGTTGCATTCGATAGACTCTAAACACACCTGCATCCACATAAGATGGAGGTACACGGCAAAAGAAGCGAAGAATATATTTGGAGAAAGTAAAGTTTTATTAAACAAATTAAATAACAACGATGTGATCAATGATTTTATTGGCATAACTAGAACAGTTTATAAAGACTCAGTAATAGAAAAAAATTTCCAGTTCCAATAAGGAGTACAGAAATGTTTGGATTTGGTAGTAACAACCAAAAATGCGACCAAATTAATTTAATAAGAAAAAAATTCCCAAGTATGTTGATTTTTTTACGTGATTCGTTAAACAGCTTTCGAACCCTGACCCTTTAGTGAAAGAAAACTATCGAAATCAGGGCCGGTTCACATCTCAAATGCTCAATAATTAAGCAATGATGCGGAACATTTCATATCATAAAAGATTTAAACAGTATCGAAATAAACCGAATAAAAAAACCAACGGCATTGTTGTTGAATGTTGGTGACTAAGTAAAACTGAACAGTTTTGTTTCTTTGGAACTTGGTAATGCTTTAAAGTTGTATTAATTAATTGGAATCAGGCATTCTTTAAAATCGATTCCCTAAGTATTAATCAGTGAACAAATTGATTTTCTGTTGATTCTAACAAATTTACCTTCTATTGCCTGAAAAATATGCACAAAAATAATTAATTAAAAACCTATGTATCAATAAAATATAGACTTATGATAATGAAACCTTTATAAATTCCTGTGTGTGTCGTTCACTTTTACGAAAAACGATAAAATCAAACCGACGCATTATGAACCGAATATCAGCTAGACGGTTCCAAAAATCGTCGGCATAAATAAAACCTATTAAAAAAGTGTAATTTTAAGCTTGAGCTAGCCTATATATCAGAATTTTCTGACGTGAATTTGTTGATTTGCATTTGGATGCTGTGTCCGGTAGCCGGCGAGGTGTAAAAATAAAACCCAAGTCAACAAATCATCGAGGTAGAAGAAACGGTTTTTTCTTCGGGCTTTGGAAAAGTCCTTTTATAGTCTTCGGGGACTGCACAAACAATTATTTATGTTTTGTTGTGTACAGCGTGAAATGTAAACACAGTGGCGTTACAGTTTATATTCATTCATTTCACTTTTTACAGGTGGAATTTAAAAAAGAGTGGAATGTTTAATTAGTTTGCGCTTTAATTAATTTGACCCTATTTTCCTGTAGAAATCTAGCCACTTGGGTTGAATTCTTGCAGTGTTAATTTGCATGAAATAAAATCAAATAAAGCTTTCAGTTTTCTTACTTAAAATACTCCAAGAATAAATTTAAAAAAACTGAACTTTTCCTTTTTTTTTGGTCGCCCATAGAATGTCAGAGTAATTTCATCTTGATAGTTCTTTCTCCACTTAAAGCTTTTTAATTTTACCTGGGAGCAATAGTTTTTTTGTCTGTATTTGCGAAGTCCATTACAACATTTCCTACAATGAAATATTTCTTAGTGCAGCTCTGCAATTTTTGTTAAGACTCCTTGTAAACAATTTAACTTTTGAGTCGCCGATATTAAGATTGTTTAGAAATGAGAATGCGAAAGGTTCAATCTTAGAGCTGGTAGCTTACTTGCGGACCACCTGCATGGCTTATTTAACATGCAAAATGGCTTTTCAAATATAAAAACGGACGGGTGCGAAGCGTTTTACAATAAACGACTAACGAATTGAGTTCATATTTTTCATGAGAATTCTTAAGACAATCAAGTGTCTTCATTTTGTATTCCTAGAAGTGTTTCCAGTACAAAAAATGCATTCTCCGTCTATCCTTTATGTAAGCATTTCTCGTCAATGCACAATTTTAATTTACATCTGCGCTTTAGAGGAGTTGAGGTTGAGATCTAGTTAAATATTTAACTGATGAAATTAAATTAAAACGCAAACATGATTATGTTATAAGGTGAACAGAATAACTAACTAATAAAATCAGAATTATACCGCCACCAATGGTAATCTGGACGCAAGAACATAAAATATCATTCACCGCGATCGCGGGAGACCAAAATGAAAATAAGAAACGAAAAACTCTGAAATTTATGAGCAATATCATATAAAATTCAATACCGGTAGCCGGAGCGAATCAAACCGAATTGTTCAAGTCTACAATTTTAGGTCTTTATGTGCGTGTTTGAGAGGATTACGCCTGGGCTTGTTAACCAGCTGCAATCCCTTTCTCTCCCGACATTTATCAGGGATTATTTTTAACGTGCATTTTCTGGAGTTCGAATGTATACTATATTGTCGATTCGAGTGCACATAGCAGGAAAAAGGTCTTAAACCGAGCCCGCCCGATAGGAAAGACATTATTTTCTTCAAAAGTCAAGAATTTTTCCGCTTGGTATTAAAGTTCAACAATAATTTACTTTACTATTTTTATTTATGCTTTGCAGGAATATCTAGTCTTCTTCCATTTGTTAAAGGCTATGTTTCATGTTTCAGTAGTATTATTCCTCATGAGGCAATAGTTTCACTTGTACCTAGACAAATTCTTGGTGTTTCTTGAATTGCCACAATTTTTTATGTTGATCCAAAAAAGTCTAGTATCTACAATGATATGCTGCTTAACGCAAACCATGTGGACAAGTTTTATAATCAATAAATTTGCAAAAAAGTGTTTTTGAACTACAACTGAACAAAAAGTGTACCTACTTTTATTCAATTAATTTAAGGCATTTGTTGAATGCCGTAGCATTTCCTATTCCCAAAATTGCTTTTGTGAAGTAGAAAACGATAATAAATGTATAAGAATTACTTACACATTTGCAAAATAACTAATAAAAAGGCGTGGAACTACCAAAACATAGATATGTAGAATTCATTAATTTTATTTTCCTTTCAATCCAATAAAATACTTTGCGGCCACCGATTCAATGTTATATAAAGATAAATTTACGTATATAAATAGATTTTTGATTAATTCCAATTAATCCATGCTACCGTAAGTTTTTATAATTCCAGATACCGCGCGGACAAGTTAAACAACTATAATTCATTACAGCTTAAAATACTCCGCACAAGAGTAATCTAATTTTATTTTATGAGATTTTAAGGGCATATTATTCATTCAAAAACATGTCATATAGGTAGCACGTTTTAAAAGTGTGATCCCTCAACAAGTAAATATTGTCTAATTTCTTAGCGGACAGGCAAAACGATAAAACTCGGTTTACATGTTAAGGCGCACAGGCGTAATAAAGCTAAGGTCAACCCATATAGAAAAACTAGCTGGAAGAAATGCCAGGGATTTTAGGAAACTCTGGCAGGTCGAATCTTTAGTCTCCAGGTAACTTTGAGGAAATAGCGAAAAAGTTTCCTGAAACGACATAGTTTTTCAAGTCAAAAGTGCATCTGGAGACTTTTTGCAAAAGTCAATAGATTTGGAGTAAATTCAAATTACTCGACTAACTTTTTGTCAAGTGTTCTACAAGGTTTGATCATATGTATGACAAAACTTGTGGAAATTTAAAATAACTTGAAAATTATTGGTTTTTAAAAAGAACTTTTCCTTAAAAACTGTATAGTTTTTACGTGCTTCTACTGTAGTTTTGATACCAAAGTTTTCATTCATAATTTACTCAATGGTTTAATATATAAATAATTTACTTGCCCTGTTGATAAGGTCCTAGATTATGCACACCGAAAGATAACATTGGGGGAATCGGATGGTAAGTTGGCCAAGCTGTCGCCATGTTTCCGGCTACTTCCTGATTAATAATTTCGTCTGTGTAATTTTCAGGAATTTCCTCTGCAAACAAAAAACTCATATTAATAGTTGAATATTTGCATAACAGTAAGTGCCGAGTAGATCGACCGTACTACAAGTTTATTTTTAATTTACTTTAATGCTTTAAGTCAGCACCAAGTGCAAATCTACAAATCGATCAATTAGATTTAATTGTACAGTCAAATAATTAACAAATTTGTAACAGACAATTTATATCTATTAATTGTCCGACAAGTAAAGAAGGTTCACGAGACATTTCCAATTAATAAACCAAAGAGAACCTCCCGGAGAGTTGCAACATTTTTAATTAAAGCCACCTAGCCTGGTCCCTTAAGAATTTACAAAGTTTGGCGAAGTTATTAACCCCGATAAGTAAACCTAACGGTACCAGATCCTTTCCTAGATGCCAAGTCAAAATATTTCCTCGAAAGAGACCGGAGGGCTAAGCTCACAAAGACATCTTCCGCCTCCGAATAGATAATGGTAATATAACAATGGCAACAATTGTTCTGGTACCTTTCCGACTAATCCTGGCCATTTGTGTTACTTCCCGCCAAAGGTAACCAAGTGGAAAAACGTATTTAAATCAGATTAGTGCAGTTGTCAATAAGCGACAATGAAATCCTCATTAGTTGTGGGTGACCACCGAAAATAAAATATAATGTCTGTATTGCCGACCATTCTTGGAAGTCTTTAGCAGAGGCTGTTTTAAGCGGAACCATGTGGTTGTTTTACTTAGCTTTAGCAAGTTATTATAGGGAAATTCTTTGAGATTTTCATTGATATTCAAGTTGGGTAGGAAAGTTGATTGCGCCTGCACTTATTACTTATTTAAATCAAGAAATGCATAGCTATGATACATTATTCATGAACGTGCTAATAAGCTTTTAAACATTGTGATTATAACTTAATTAAAATGATTGCTGTTATCTTCCTAATAGCATCCTACAAAACCGACGCAATTATTCCCAACACGATTAAAACGTTCATTTTTTAAATAAAAATTTTGAAATTGTGCTGATAAGTACCAAGAACAACTTTGTATAGGACCTATACAAAGTTCATAGAAGAACATACAGGTGGCGCATATTGTTCAAGATCCTTATTTCTGGGAAAATTGTCTAGACTTGGTCATGGTTCTTTAGACTGAATTCTAAACATTTCCAAAAACCAATTGCATTTATTATTGTGCCTACCTAGACACACTGGCACGTAACGAAGTTCGAAGCCCATCCAGTAGGAAAGAACTGAAAATTTGGCCATATGAAACCATTTCCAAACCTACTAATGAGTCTGCATACTTGATGGTCATTATCGTTAATATATTTCTGTTTGGTTTCTAGAAAATTCGCTCTACAGCTAAATATTATCAAGTATTTAGCGAATATTGATTCTTTGTCAATCTGTCTGCGCACATTGTAATACGTGCTCGTAATGGTATTAATGCTTGTCGAAAATTGATTTGATTAGATTTATGCTAATTATTCTATGATAATTAGTCTGCCGGCAATTCTACCTTTATCCCTCTATTCTATATCGAAATGAGATAATTAAACAAGCCATATAATCATTCGGCACGAAACATGAATTATGCATTCGTTCGACAATACCGATCCACGGTTTGTTAAAATTAATGATTAATTAGTAATAATTATACCGATAAATTACAGTGCGCAAACAGATTACAGATAAAAAATACAGCGAACTGATATCAAGTGTTAATGGAGAGGGATTAATGTTGCTGTGAATATGTATTAAGGGAGATTTGATCAAGTCTTCCTATAATGTAAAATGTTATGTTACTGCTGAGTGTAGTTTTCTATATTTTGCAGAAAAAAGAATTTCAAATGATGTTTGTGTAGTATATAGACTTTTTCACTTTTGGTCACACACGAAAATGTGGTCGACATGTACCAAAATGTGCCACCTCAAAAAAATCAGAGTTTACATTTCAAAGATATTCGCTCTATTAGTAGCAAATTGCTTACAATTTCCTTACGTCGCCCGTGAAAACTTTTGGCACTCTAATAGAGCAAAGCTTCCTCTATTTAATTAAGCTTGTTTGAAATGTCTGTCTATTTCTGATTTTTGCTATCCGGATAATTGAACATGCAAAAGTTTCTAGTTTTTTTAAGTAGGTACCTATACTTTAATAAATTATGCTAAATTATTTGAAGAGCAAAACGGCTGCAGTTTTATAGGGTGGGTCAATGATCAAGTTACTCCCTGATTATTTGAGTTGTTTCGTAAAAAATGTTCGGACACGCCAATTTTTTATTTAAACTTTTTCAAGTACTTTCAACAACTACGCGGGGGCTGACCCTAAAAATTTCTAATAAGATGGGGCGGTCGAGTGATATTTTAGGGATATTTTCACTCTAATGATGTAATCCCCAACTTGTAAGTTAGAAGTTGCTGAAGCAAATCTTAGAAGAAATTTAAAGTTTTCGTGAAACAGAACAAACAGCTTTTTAATGAACGTAAAAAACATCCGCCCGAACTTCTTCAAACGAGAACGAGCCCGAATATCCGGACTATATTATCTACCCATAATGAATTTTTGACAAGACTTGCATTACAAAGAACGCTGAAAATAGTCCTACCAAGTGTAGAAGGGCGCCACAAAACTAGTTCATTTGTACATATTTTCGCAAAAAACTTAAACCGTTTCGGTTTTCTTGAACGTTTAGTCTCTCCGTAGTTTGTATAGATCAGCTTGTAATGTTCAGTATAAAGCATGAAACGAAAACAATTATTGACGAAGACAAGCAAAACTAGTTTTGAAGAATTTGTGTCTCTTTCACGAAATTGTTGCGTATTAAATTTCATTATTTTGCGCTAAAATATGTGTTTTGCATTGTTGCATACATGTGGTTAAAGAAGTAGCATGCAGGCAAAACAGTTATACAAAACGTTTATTCCACGTTGTATCCCTTTGGTTTAGATTGATAAGTTATCTTCACATAGGTACATATAAGTCCTGCTTAAGGAATCCAATTTTTTAAACCTGTTACATTGACACTGGGTGTTCATTAACATTGCAGCATTAAAACCAGGCAAGCTGTAATTTAAAGTTTAAATTTGTCTTTAATTGAATCTGCGTCAGTATTAATAAAGCAACAGCAAAAACCTTGAAAGATCAAGTTTATTATTCATAATAGAAGGCGACGTAGGTATTAGCAGTGCATGCTAATAAGTACAAGTCTAAATAATAAAACCGGACATTTTCATTCAATTAAAACAAGCTTTAAAATACAATGTTTGCCATGTATAGTATTGTCGCACAGATTTAGCGTATTTTATGCATTTAAGGGCATATACCTCTATCAAGTTTTTACTAAAAATAAAAATTTTCATCCTGAGCACGTTTCTTATGTAAAGCTCTGGGAAGTCGATGAAACTAGGGTTGAAGATCTCTGGTTGTTAATGCTGAAATTAGCGCAGCGGCTACTCGCGATATCAACACAAATTAAGCGTTTGCAGCTAAAATTAGTATCAGGATAAAAGTCCCGGTATTAAAAATTCGAAAGTTTCGTACCTTAAAATTGGATCTCTTCTTAGTGCACTACTAGTCCCACCCAGAAATTTGTACGTAACACAAATGCTCAATAAATGACTGTTCGTCGATGAAATGATGTATAACCCTTCAGCTTGAAGATGCTTAATAACAGTTCATAGCTTAACCAAAATACACAGACGCGCCAGATGTGAACTAGTTTCTAGTTTCAAGTTGAAAACTGCCGGAACCGAACAAATCAAGAAACTACATACAGAGACTGATCATTCACAAGTGAGCCCCAACTTAATGCAGTCTCACAACGCAGGTAGGTGCACGAGCCCTAAATATTTGGAGGGTGGGTTTGAGGTAAAAATGGCCAAATTAAAGAGGGTGGGCAGATCGTCTAATTATCGTATCTATAAACTCGCGCTTTTAAAGTAGCGAATATAATACCTAATGGCCGAAGACACTCACTTTTGGGCTCTAAGAAATTAGCAGACAAGTATATTTGAAATTAATAAAATTGATTTTGGCATGTTTGGCAAATACTCACTTTTTGAACTGTATTTCATCGTAGCGGCTATTGTGAGCAACAAATAAATGCTTTCTATAATAAACGTATTTTATTTATTTATTCACTTTCCAACACATATTTTTTAGTTTTACCATTTCGAGTTTGCAATGGATAATCAGGAAGCACATAAAAATGCTTTTACAAATTCTTTTTGTAGAATCTGTTCTGGACGCATTTTAGGTAAAATCCTCAACAGATGGATCTAGGTATTTTTTATCTGTCTACTTACACATTTACTATTAGTTTACTCTATAAAATTACCGGCATTCTCGAAGTTAATTAATTTATTTTTCGAAATTCTGTTTAAGACAGATGTACACAAAAATACCAAAAAAAAGTCCGTCTGAAGGTGAACCGGTGCCTTTGATGCTTTCAAGCAGTTCGTGAAGAATTTTTTTACTTATGAATCAAATTGTGCGAAATATCAGAAAAATTACTTTTCCTTAAAAACATTTAATGTTAAAAGAGACAAACAGTCAGGGGAAATACTATAGATTCGCTTTAGCAGCAACACATGGACACATTTTATATTTTATTTGAATTCACGAAATATTATTATCATTCTGATTATTTGAGTTTATTTCTCTTAGCATATTCTCATGACGGGCACAGAATTACAATTTAACAATACATTTTAAACGCACGAATGTTAAACTTTTGCTACACACATACACATAAATACTAAAGTGTTCTAAAAGCTATTTTTTATAAAAAAAAGTTGCAATCATCAGATATTACATTTTTTTAGTTTTCAATCCTACAATAATAGAATTTTACTGGTTAATAAATTATTTGTTATATTGTACATTGTATGGCTCCGTAATTTGAAACCATATGAAAATTTCTTAGTATTGATTTTAAGAAAATTCTAATATTCCATAAAATTCTGCATGGCTCAAAACTCATAAAGGTAAGGTAGCTTTATTTTTGACAATCTCGCAAATCGTTATTCAAAAGTCCAGCGGAACTAAAAACTACATTCAAATATCTAGTTGCATGATACTACTTATTTTCTTGCAAATATTTACTAATTTATTTATTAGGTACTAATATGATACCTTTTACGTTCCGTAGAGAAACTAATACTTAAGCCAATTTCACAAAGCAAAATGTTCACGCTGTTTAGAATGTTGTAGACAAACATATAATTTTTTCGTTTAAATAGCAGGATGTAATTGCATATTTTCACGTAATTTCTAGTTCTGATCAACAATTTTTGATTTTGTGAAACAAATGTTTTTAGACAAACCGCGTACAAACGGAAAACATTTAAAATCTGGTGATTTTATTTTAAATTCTAGAACTTGCACAACATTTTATAAAGAATAAAGTGTAAGATTAATAGTTAAAAAGTTTCCCAAATGTTGCCAACTTAAGCAGTACATTGAAGCAATTTTTTGAATTAATTTGAAGAAAAATCACAACTTACCGGGATTTAAACTCATTTTTCGGCTGATTAGATCACAACTGGAACAACACGTTGAACGAACAAATATTTAGGTACTGGCTATAATGCAATATGTCCAACGTCCAGGTAAAAGAATCTTAATGAGCAAGCTTGCAATGCAGATTTAAGATATAATTTAGGTTCTTCCACCACTACAAGTGGGGATGAATACGTTCCTATTTCCTGTACTTAAATATAGGTACTTATGTACCTTTTCCAAAATTAGCTCCATGTATTTCAGCTTTCTTTCTTTTTAAACTTTTCTTTCTAAACTTGCCACTTGACAATACTGCCAAATTGATCTCTTTTCAAGCACGCATAATATTGATCAAAAAAACATTTTTATAAAAATAAGATATTCTTAACTACGGATTTTCAGCGGATTAGCAGGTGAAATATAATAAAAAATTGCGTACATATGTGTATTTAACAATTTAAAGAAAAGTAGGTACCTATATTTTGACTAAAACTCGTGCGTGGACGGAAACCACATAAGGATACCTACATACTAGAGATCCGTGATTTGTTAAAATTTGCTGGTCATTTAGTAGGAGTTTCGCTTTCATAAGTGCCTAAACGCAGCATTTCTTCAATAATCATTTAATTATTTTGGTAAACATTTGGGACAGGTGGCCACAGAGATAAACTGTGCCGGAACTGCAAAGCGCCACCAATTTAAATCTATTAAATATTGTGTAAAAGCAGAAGAGTACATCACACTAATGCAATTTAGGGACTAAGAAGTCAGCAAAGTAGTTTATAAATCGTGAGATATAAGCGGCTTTCTGCACTTTGGAGCGTCACGCGCCTTTATAGTTCTTTAGCTACCTAGTTGTGTACATTAACACTAGTTTATCCTGATTATCCGGAATAATTCCCTTTACTATTATTTGCTCTTCAGCCGTCTATTTAACTGGTTTTTAAGTAGCTTTGCGCGGATTACGTTTATCTGATACCGGTTTTAGCAGACGGCTGCGAATTTTTCGCCAAAGTTAATGGAGGTTTGAGATGAAAATGTTCAGGCATCCATCGTATGAATGAGTCCATCAATGATTGAAGAATTAAACAAGGTGTTCACGCGAAATTAATGTGACAAATTCTAATATAAATGAACCAGAAATGTTTTGCGCCACCTCTTTTATTCACGACTTGCTAAAGAAGATTACGATAGCTTAGTCCCAATCTCGATATAGTTCAATCCTAATCATTCATTAATATTCTACTAGAGAATTTAATATAACCCAGCTAGTTAGCCAAGAAACAACAGCGAGCCAAATTTGAACAGCAAACTTCCATACATATGATACAATGGACAGAAAGGCAAACTTCAAAGCAGACTACTGAAGCTGGGCAGGTTTTAAGGCGGTTGATGTAAGACCAATGGAAACGGGGGGAGGAGTTTGTGTCCCTACCTAAGTTCTCCCATACCGCCTCCTACACGTGTGACGTCACAGCTTTCCCACCCCACAGCTGTCGGAGCTTTTTAGTCTTTTTTGCATGGTAAAGGCAATAAAACAGGCAGGGGGGGTCGATGGAAAAGGACTAAACAAGTCGACTGGATGTTCTTTTTGCTGACAGTTGGTAGAATTGGAAAATGGTTCTTTTGTTACTGCAAGTGTTTCACGACATTGATAATACATAATGATCGAGGACAACAAAAGGATTGTTTAGAGGGTCGTTTCAGTACGGTCTCTTGCTGAGTGAAAGTTGTTTCATTTAGAAGACCTTCTTGGTGGCAGGTATCTTAGAAGAAAAATTTGGAAATTCCCAACAAAGCTTTATAGATGCATTGAATAACACGCAAATGGTATTTTTAATTGAGCTTTTCAATTTTTAGCTGGATTTATTTCAAAGAACTTGGTTATCGCGAGTAGATGAACTGATTGTCTGAAGTTTAAAAATTCCTTTTTGCAGGAAACGAGCATCACTTGATGAAATTTAAAATTTCTTATAAATGGCATCTAATAATTGTAATTTTGGTTGCTTTACACCTGAAGATCAACTATGAACCCTTAGCTAGTGAATGCAACCTACTATCGATAATAAATATACCCGCATCTAGTTAAAAGTAAAAATTGGAACAATAATCGAAAGTGAAAAGTGCATTGTTAAGTATATCCATGGTCCAAATATTTATTCGCGGCTTTTCCAGGAAAACCTCACAAACTTTAAAAGTTTATCAAAAATTGCTTGACTTGTACGACAAACGGAAAGGAATTTCGATTTGCAATAGTATTATGATTCAACATTAAAATATTGCACTTTCTACTTTCTTCGCTTACGCTGTTCTCTACATATGCAAATGTGTTCTCAAAATAAATGTTGTTTTGAAGGATTTTGTATTAAATACTTATCAATTGAGACAAGATTTAATTTCAGAAACTCAAATCCTATTGCGAATAAAACTATTGCGAATAGAACTGGCAAGGTTATAGAAATAGTTTGTTTGCGTAAAAACTATCAATGCTACAAGATTTTACAAAAAATACCAAAAGAACTCAGATGATTCCAGCTATCAAATAGCAAGTTCTGACAGTTTTTGTACCAAGAAACTCAAGAACTCCTCACTTGCCCAAAGCGGATGATCTCGGTTATTTCATCAAAACATCAGTCTTATATGGGACCAAATTTACAGCGAGTTTCATAAAAAATTATGTCATACCACATTATACATAAATTATTATAGATTGATTCCTTAGCTTTATTAGTACTTAACATCATTTCTGCAACTGTAGGTATATAATGAGAATCATCGTACTCAATGTGCTCTCTCCAATTTAGTTTATTGTTGATTTGCAGGCCTAAATATTTTGTGCATTGTACTTTATTTATTGCCATGTTATCAATAAGAATCTCTAAATTCTGTGTATATACATACGTTTTTTTGCTGAAAGACCATAAAATTTTTGTTTATTATAATGTAAATATATTTTTAAAACAGTATTAATAGTAATGTTTAATGTCTCCACCTTCTCAACTATATACCTGTGCCAAGACCGTATCAGCAAAAGTAAAATATCTCTTTCAGAAAATTCTCCCACAAAAGCTTTTTGATCAAACAACAAACAATCCGAGTCTTTTGTGGATCGAGATATTTGACACCGTTCGATATTTTTTGAAGAACCTTCGTCCAAACATTCAGTTAACCAAATCTGAATCTGGACATTTGAGAGCTCGAAAGATAATTTCGAGAATGCCCGTTTCTACAGTTAATAATAATGAAACATGAAAAGACATACGAGCAAAACTAGAATGGATAAAAGTTTCTGAAGAAAAAACGCAAATAATTTGTTCTCGCTCAAAAAGTTGCCGTGTGAGTATCAGAATCGCACTTTAATGGAGTGCAAGTGCAGCGGAAAATTGTAAAAGCAAAACAAGTAGCTGAAACAATAGAACGGTTTAAAAGAAGAGTCCAGGCGGTATTATTATACAGGGTGATTCACAACATTATGGACACAGAGCAGGGGCGTGTAGAGGATCTCAAAACAAGTCGAGTTTTCATTTAATTTTTTTTCTCAGGCCTATGGTTAACGAGATACAGGGTGTTAAAATTTCAAAAAATTTTTGGTATTTTCTCTCTAGCTCCTACAGTTTAGCAGCTATTTTGCTCAAATTTTTAACGTAGGCTAATTTAGACTAGTTGTTTAGACCCTTTACCCGTAGGTAAGACGACTGGTTGTGCAACTCCACTGGGTGTTCTTTTTTCTAGAGGCATACCCTCTTTTACCCCCCCCCCCCGAACTTTTTTGTAGTGCGCCACTGACTTTCGACCGAACGAATTTTTGAATTTATTGTTCAATTTAAGAATTCTCTGATCTCATGCAGTTTTTTCGTATCTGTCTTCGTTTTCGAGTTATTTGCACAAATATAATTCTATGTAAGGTTGTGAGGTGATTTTCCATGAATTTTCTTATAATTTTTTTGCGTCCTTTTAATCATATTCTTTGTGTGTGGTAAAAGAGATAAACAAACTTTTAGGGAATAAAGATGGAACGAATGCAATGGACAGAAAATAACGGTGAAACTAGTAATGGACGGACAAGGCAGAACAGAACTTAGAGCAAGTAAATGAGCATGACTAGGTCGTAAATAACGAGCAGACAATCCAGGAAGATTTAATGTTTTCTAAGCAACCTTGAAATGAAGAACGGTCGAAATTCCTTTACTTAATTGTATTCGGGTAATTGGTTGCTAGATATGGTGAATTTTATCTGTTATAAGGTAACGATAGTTGCCAGTAGATCTAATAGGGGTTACTTAGTTTTCGAATAGTTTTCCTACAGGAGTTCTTGGTTCAACTATTCGATTCAAACCTTTTGTTTGATTTATGTGCTCAACCTTAGTGCTTGAGTACTTAAATTCCTTAAATGTATTTCTTACGTTCAGCCATTTATTTATGGTACATTAACTTGAATATTTTCTTTTGAAAATTGTCTCTATCTGTTTTCTTCAGCTAGCCGTTCTGTACCCTACAGGGTAATGTTTCTTTAAGTAGAAAAGTATTAAAATTCCTATACATTTCTGCGTTATACTACTACTATAATTTATTCTACTACTATAAGTTAAGATGGACCTGGGACAAAAGTAACAAAATTACTAACTTTCGAAAGCTAATTGCAATTGCGCTTTTGCTCCTCTCCGGGAGGAGCATTCGTGTTATCCATAATCAGTTGTTAACCAGTTATTAACGTTCTTTGGCTGTTCTTCATGTGCTGCTACACTTCGAACCGTCTTTCTATAGTGAACAGTATATACTATGTATAAAAATCTACAATATGCATTCCATCCTATAAGATTTTTGCCAAAATTCTACTTCTATGATTAAGGGACTATTACTCTATATTGCCTTGCAGTTTTCAATTGAAAATACTTCTACTAGATTCTAAAAATGGTACGTGCAACGTGTTACAAACTTTTTCCTGTATTTTCCTTTTCAGGTTGTCTTCCATTAGGCAAAAATAATCTTCCATTTTATCAATAATCCTACAGTGAAGTAAA